GGTCGTGCGTCGCGTGTCTAGGTGAAATTTCAAAGTCGTCGGAAATATATCGTGTTTGGGCTTATTTCGAAGCTCTTGTTGAGCTGAATAAGAAAACATAAGTTTCATGGAGAAATATCAGATGAGGCTCGAGTTATGGTAGGTTGAAATTTTGTTTTTCAGAAAAACTTTATTTTTAAATAAAACACAAAAATCAATAAAAAAAGAAAATCTACGCATGGATGGATCTTTTCTTGCAGACATAGGCTCTCATTACGGTGTTGCACGCCTCGTTATTCCAGTTCTCGTACCACTTGTCGTGGGAAAGGTCTGGCGCGGTTTCGACGCAATTTTCTTTTCCCGGGTTGTCGGGTTGTTTGGGAGCCCAGTTGATGTAGTCCGCTTTGGTTCCGTCGGTCCACACCCAGTCTTGTCCCACTTTGTGCATTCCGATCCATGCCAGATCCTTGGGATTGCCTTCCTTGACACCACATGAGGCCAAGTCTGAAAATTCATAGATTTTTTAGTTGGGCTCTTTGTGAGCTTCAAAATGAGCCCAAACATGCCGGGTATTCAAAAATCAGGTTTTGGAAATTTTCAAAATTTTCAAAAAAAAGTTTTTTTTCAAACTTTGAAATTACCATAACTTGGTGCATTTTCAATATATTCAGATAAAACTATGATTTTTGAGTTCGACACATTTTCAGCTTTGAAATGAGCCCCAACACGACCAGGCTCCGCCCATTTTGAAATTTCAACTAGACACGCGACGCATGACCGCGACGCAACTCTGAAAAAACAACGTGGACGGAGCCTAGTCGTGTTGGGGCTCATTTTGAAGCTAAAAATGTGAAAAAACTGGAAAATGTAGTTTAAAATGTCCTTAATCACAAGTTTTTGATTTATGGTCTGATTTGTGAAAAACAATTTTTCACAACTTCAAATTACCATAGCTCGGTCCATTGTTGATTTTTTTCACATAGAACTTATATAATTGTACTTGGCTTAGAAAGTGCTTCAAAATGAGCCTAAACACGACCTATTTCCGAAAATTTTGAATTTTCACATAGACACGCGACGCACAACCGCGACGTGTCTGAAAAATCGAAATCGACGGAGCCTAGTCGTGTTTAAGTTCGTTTTGAAGCTGGAAATGTGCAAAAAGCAAATTTTTACACAAAAATATCGCTAGAAACCGAAATTTTGAGTTATGGTCAAATTTCTGAAAAACAATTATTTTTTGAAAAATTTGAAATTTCTCTAACTTTATTAGTTTGCATTACTATTGGCAAATTTTCAAATTTTTGAGTTTCTTACATTTTTTGCTTTAAAAAGAGCCTAAACACGACTAGGCTCCGCCCATTTCGAAATTTCACCTAGGCACGCGACGCACGACCGCGACGCGTCCGAAAAATCAAAGCGAACGGAGCTTAGTCGTGTTTGGGCTCATTTTGACGCTGTTTTTATGCTGAAAACGAATTTTCAGGTCCAGAAACTTTTAGAATCAATCTTACCTATTTATTATCGAATCTTACCTATTTATTATTAAGCTGAAATTTTTAAAATCCCATAACTCAGCCAGTTTTTGGCATAGAACCCCAATTTTAGGCTTAAAATGATCCCAGGAAAATTTCTAATCTATTTAAACTATTAAAATGTAAAACTTACTATTCACAAAAGTGTTCTCGGTCTCCGAATGGACGGACGCCAAATGGGCGCCCAAAAGAACGCAAGCGGCCTCCGCATCGTCCCATTTGGCATTATGGTAGACACGATAGCAGAAATCGGTTGGTGCAAAATAGGTCCATCCTTGATCACACGATGGGACACAGTTCTTCACTGGACATGGTGTTGGTGTTGGGCAGACGGTTGCTGTAATAAATGGAATCTAATTTTTGATAATTTCAGAGCAAAAAAATTGAACATCCCATAAACAAAAAATTCAGATAAAATTTCCAGTTCAATGCCTACATTTTAAGCCTAGAACCAAGGTTCTAGCTTAAAAATGAAGACAGTTATGGGATATTGAAAAACCAAAAAATTCAAAAATCTACAGTAATCCAAGGACCAGGAACCGTGAAACTCGAATTTTCAGTTTTACCACGTTAAGCCCATCAAAATCAGCCTAAACATGACCTATTTCGGTGAAGTTTGAAATTTTCGGGTTTAAAGACGCATGGACCCCCAAAATGTTCAAAAAACTAAAACTTTTAAAGTGGGGCATGATTATACTCATTCGAGCCGGTTTATTGAGTTAAATCGGAATATATACAAATTTTATGTCCCGGACCAATATTGAAGGGATTACGGTAGAAAAATTGTTTAGCTCAAAACGTTCAAATTATCATAACTTGGCCCATTTTTAGTATTTTTACCTGAAAATTAGATTTTTAGACTTGTCTTATAAAGGGCTTCAAAATGAGCTTAAACACGACTAGGCTCCGCTCATTTTGAAATTTCACCTAAGCACGCGACGCACAACCGCGACGCGTCCGAAAATCAAAGTTGAAGGAGCCTAGCCGTGTTTAGGCTTATTTTGACGCTAAAAATGTGCAAAAAACGAAAATTCACATAAAAATATCGCTAGAAACCGAAATTTTGAGTTATGGTCAAATTTCTGAAAAACAATTTTTGGAAAAATTTAAAATTTCTCTAACTTTGTTAGTTTGCATTAATTTTGGCGAATTTTCACATTTTTGAGTTTTTCACCTTCTTAGCTTTAAAATGAGCCTAAACACGACTAAGCTCCGCCCATTTTGAAATTTCACCTAGACACGCGACGCAAGACCGCGACGCGTACCAAAAATCAAAGTTGACGGGGCCTAGTCGTGTTTGGGCTCATTTTGAAGCTGGAGACCTGGAGAAAACGAATTGTTTAATGGAAAATCGCATACCAGCATATTTGGTTCATTTTGAAATTTTTGGTTTTAAAGGCGCATGGACCCGAAAATTTCCGAAAAATTGAAAATTTTAAAGTAGGACATGATTATACTCATTCGGACCGGCTTTTAACGCTCAATCTGAAGATATAAAAGTTTTGGGTCTTGCACCAAAAATGAGTGGATTACGGTAGAGAACTTACGTTTAGGGGTAGTGATTGGTGGACACGTGGCAGTGATGATAACGGGAGTGACACAGACAAATGGTCGATAAGAAGTGCATCCAATCGCCGACCATGTACCATCGCCCTTATCCTGAATCGCACAATCGGACCCGGATTGTGGCTCGCCGATTTGCCAGTTACTGTAGCTGAATGGGACGGATGGATCTGTCCATTTCCAGGTTCCAGTTGTCTCCAAATCGTTTGCTCCAATCCAATAATCCGAATAATTTGATTTTCTGAACGAATTCGCTCCATTTGACTGGATTAATGCGTTCTCTGCGCCATTTTGGATGGATGCCAAGTGTCCGCCCAACAGGGCGCATTGTTCCTCGGCGAACTCGAATTGCGCGGGAGCTGTGAAGTATTGATAGCATCTGAAAGATTTGAGACATTAAGAGCTTTAAAATGAGCTTAAACATGACTCGATTTGATTTTTTTGAAAACTCGAAAATTGTCAAAAAAATTTTTTTTCGAAAATTTTTTTTTTCCCCAAAACTTGGGCTATAACTCAAAATCTTGGTCCCTAGCAACTTCTTGACTTGTAAATTCGTTTTTCTCGCGTTTTCGGCTTTAAAATGAGCCTGAACACGACTAGGCTCCAACCACTTTGATTTTTCAGACGCGTCGCGGTCGTGCGTCGCGTGTCTAGGTGAAATTTCAAAATGGGCGGAGCCTAGCCGTGTTTAAGCTCATTTTAAAGCTCTTGTTGAGCTGAGTTCAAAAATGTATGGTTCGTGTGAAAATAATGAAAAATGACAAAGTTATGGTATTTTAAAAAAATCCAAAACAACGTTTTTTTTTTTATTTGACTATAACTTGAAATTTCGATTTCTAGCGTATTTCACATTATAGTTAACACCTTTTTCGTTATCATTTTTCGAAAAAAAAAGTGATGCCATTTTGATACGGTGTGTCAAAAGTCCAACTGTTCAATGAACAGGAAGGCAAAAAAAGAAAACTACAGTAACCTGCTCAAATTTTGATGAAAAACGAAACATTTTTGAATTTTTGAACTCAGCTGACTGAGAGCTTCAAAATGAGCCCAAATACGACCCACTTCTGACAATTTTGATTTTTTTCGAATTTTCAAAATGGACCATGCGCCTTTAAACCCAAAAATTCAAGTTTCTCAAAACTATGCCATGTTTCTACTCATTTTGATCGCCTTACTGAGCAAAATCCAAAAATCTGAAAAATTTTGAGTTCCGGCAAAAATTCAGAAAGTTACGGTAGTTTCAGTGAACCCGACTGCAAAATGAAAACTACAGTAATCCTTCAATTTTTCGATAAAATTACAAAATATCCACATTTTTGAACTGAGATTGATAAGTGCTTCAAAATGAGCCTAAACACGACTAGGCTCCGCCCATTTCGAATTTTCAATTTGACACGCGACGCACGACCGCGACGCGTCTGCAAAATCAAAGTTGGCGGAGCCTAGTCGTGTTTGGGCTCATTTTAAAGCTGGAAACGTGCAAAAATCGAACTTTTGAAAAAAAAATTGGCTCGAAACAGGGATTTCGAGTTTTTGAATTTTGGTGAAAAATTTTTTTATTTTATTTTAAAATTCCTCTAGCTTTCTCAGTTTACAATATTTTTTGTCGATTTTTACACTTTTGAGTTTGTTACGTTTTCAGCTTCAAAATGAGCCTAAACACGACTAGGATCCGCCCATTTTGAAAATTCACCTAGATACGCGACGCACGACCGCGACGCGTCTGAAAAATCAAAGTGAATGGAGACTAGTCGTGTTTGGGCTCATTTTAATGCGAAAAACATGACAAAACAGAAAAATCAAGAGAAAAATATCGTAAATCACAAGTTTTTAAGTAATTGTCGAATTTCTGAAAAAAGTTATGCGCCTTTAAACTCGAAAATTCGAGATTTCAAAACTATGGCATGATTATACTCGCTTCAAAGCTCTCAACAAGCTAAGCTCAAAAATCTAAAAAAGTTTTGAGCTTCTGCAAAAATCGAACGGGTTACGGTAGTTTGAAATTGCTAAAAAAAAACTACAGTAATCCCCAAAGCTCACCTATTAAACTGTGCACTATAGATGCCGCCAGTGTTACACGTCTGAGCCGAGGCTCCCGACACGAAAAGTGCCAAAATCAGAAATTTCGACATTTTCAGAGTTTTCAGCAACAAACTGAAAATTTTCAGCCGAAAAATTTTTTTTTGGCTGCAAAAATTTTTGGGGGCGGGGCTAAAATAGAGCAAACGAGACTCGAGTACATTAATATTTTAATGGGGCAATGTGGAAATGGCATGGAGAATAAAATTTTTGGGAAAAAGAGCCCATAAAATTTTATGATAAGGTGATTAAAACACCATTAGGTGTCCGCGTTTTTGTATGATAAGAGGAAATTATTGTTTCATGATTTTTGGAAAAGAAAAATCACACAAAACTGGGGAAAAAGGATGTTTAGGGACAAAAATTGTTTTTTGGACTTTTCCGGGTTTTTTCGGGTCACAACTCACGGTTTAACATTGAAAAATACATAGAAAAAATGTAAAATGCAATTTCACACATTTTGAGCTTAACATCAAGATTCTAGCTTCAAAATGTAGCGAGTTATGGGATTTTGAAAATTCTGGAAAATCCCAAAAACTCAAAATTCAAAAATCTACAGTGATCCCAGGACCAGGGACCCTCAAAACTCAAATTTTCGTGTTTACCACGTTGAGAGCTTTAAAATGAGCCCAAGATCAGCTATTTTGGTGCATTTTGAATTTTTGGGTTTAAAGGTGGTGTACGGTGAAATTTTTTATTGCATGAAAATGTGCAGAAATGCATGTAGATTGACATAAAAATAAAGAAAAAATTCAAAAAAAATTCCTTCATTGAGAAAAACGCATCGAAAAATACGCTGAAAGCCCTTAGGCCGCCCGGTGACCCGGTTCTAGGCCGCCCGGTGAGTAAAAGCGCGCGAATTCAAACTTTTAAAATTTTTTTGCTCGTTTTCACTTTTTTTTCGGTTTTTTCAAGAGTTTTCTAGGTTTTCTTTTTTTTACTCACCGGGCGGCCTAGAAAAACCTCGTCCCTAAGGGCTTTCAGCGTATTTTTCGATGCGTTTTTCTCGATGAAGGAATTTTTTTTGATTTTTTTCTTTATTTTTATGTCAATCTACATGCATTTCTGCACATTTTCATGCAATAAAAAATTTCACCGTACACCACCTTTAAAACCAACTGTTCAGAAGAAGCTGAACGTGAATACATTTGCTCATCGGGAAACCAAGAGATTGCTGACAACTACTTTTGATGTTCGTTTCAAAACCAAACATTCGACTGCTACTGTTCAATTGTGTAGTGTGGACAACATTGCATGCAACATTTTAACTGCGGATGTGGAAAGTGATGTGTTGAAACGACTGCTGCAAGACCAGGATCAATATCTTCAGGTGGAACGGACAAGAAAGAAAGTTGATATTCTCATTGGATTGGATTCGTATTTGGAAATTTTGGGACAAGTGAACACTCTTCGATTGGCAAACGGGTTACAATTGCATATCAGACCAATTGTTGCTGGAAAAGAGAATGTGGTGGATTTTGCTCTTACATTTTCTACACTATAACCCGAGGGCTTTTATGGGCGATCAACGGGAGATCGTAAAATATCATGTATATACCGTAAAACCTCTAATAGAACGACACCCGGATCGTCCAGTTTGAGCCTATATATCTCATTTTCTGTGAAAGATATCAAAAAGTGGCTAACTTATATAAAAATGGTTTTTGATAATTCTTGATAACATTNTTAATAATTAAACCAATTTTTTGATATTCTTTCAAAAGAAAGTGAGATATATCAACCTCAAAGTGGACCGGTCCGGGTGGCGTTCTATTAGAGGTTTTACGGTAAACACCATTTTAGCTGTATTGTATATCATTCATTTTTATCTTATTTTTCTTTAGTTTCTTATGAATAAAGGTTTAATTACCCAAGTTTGAGGCTCGACGAGAAGTGATCGAATTTGAGAGACAAAAATTGTTTTTTGGACTTTTCCGGGTTTTTTCGGGTCCCAACTCACGGTTTAACATTGAAAAATACATAGAAAAAATGTAAAATGCAATTTCACACATTTTGAGCTTAACATCAAGATTCTAGCTTCAAAATGTAGCGAGTTATGGGATTTTGAAAATTCTGGAAAATCCCAAAAACTCAAAATTCAAAAATCTACAGTAATCCCAGGACCAGGGACCCTCAAAACTCAAATTTTCGGGTTTACCACGTTGAGAGCTTCAAAATAAGCCTAAGGTCAGCTATTTTGGTGCATTTTGAATTTTTGGGTTTAAAGGCGCATGGACCCGGAAAATTAGAGAAAAAAACTTGAAAATTAAAAAGTAGGGTATGATTATACTCATTTGAGCCGGCTTTTTGAGCTGAATCGAAATATATAAAAAATTTGTGTCTCGAGTGGAAATTCGAAGAGTTACGGTAGAAAGTTTGAAATTTGAAGAACACAATGAGCTGGAAATGTTGTTTTTCGGGGAAATGGGTGATGATTATATTCATTCGAACTGGCTTTTTAAGCTGAGTTTGAAATTTTGAAAATTTTGGGTCTCGACGCGAAAATAAAAAAGTTACTGTAGATTTTTTGATAAAAAAGCTAAAAATGTAGGAAATTGGAATTTTCAACCTGGAAAACTTGATTTTTCTGAAATTACAAATTGAAACAGTCATTAAAACGCTAAAAATACAAAAAATAATAAAAAATTTAGTGGAAAATAACTTTAAAAATAGGTTAAAACTCGAAATTTTCAATTTTTCAGCTATTTCTCGGTGTTATTCCAGCTAATTCCGAAAATTTAAAAATTTATTAGTGTATTTTTTATATTTCTATTTTTTCTCCTATTTTTTCCACTAAAAACCAGCTATTTCAGATGAAAATCGCTTTTTCAGTTTCTCTCCCAAATTCAAAAATTTTCCTTTCGCGCGCTTTTCTCCCCGTAAACCGACACTGGCCTAGGAGGCGCCACGCTGGCCGAACTCTCCCCAAAACTCTTCCATCTCAAAAAAATGTGCTCCGCGAGCCAAATTTCCCCGTTTTTGAGCAATTCTCCGGGGATTTTCCGTTACTAAGCGTTGCCAGGGTGATTTTCATCGAAATGAGCAATTGAAAAAGCTTTTTGGAGCACAAAATGAGCAAAAATTAGCGAAGCTGAGGCTTTTCTCGATTTTGATATTTCAAAAATTCGTTTTCGCTCATTTCCCACCTTTTTTGATGATTTTTGGGGTTTTCCGGCATGAAAAATTGATTAAAAACCATTAGAAACCTTAAAAATCAACGTTTCAGGTAGAAAAACCATCAAAAAACGGAAAAAATCGACACCTACCGAAATTCAACCGGAATGGGCAATTTTTCGGTGAAAATGGGTAATTTTGGGCTGAAAATTTCCAGCTTCTAACGCTAAAATAGGCATAATTTCAGGTCCAGGCCTTGTTTCGGCGATTATGCCCATTTCCTATGTGGTTCTGGTGAATTGCTTCGATTACGGTGGAAATGATCGAAACGACCCGAAATCGATCAGAAAAAGGTTAAAATGAGGGAAAATTTTGCTGAAAATCGTAAAAATCACAAAATTTCAGTCTAGAAAATCTAGAAATTCGATTTTTCAAAAATTGAAAATTTTCGAAAAAAAAATTTGTTTTTTAAAAAATTGTTTTTCGATCTTTTCACCTTTCTATATCATTTTTTTGCAATTTTCGTGCTGAAAATCGTCAAAATCGTGAATTTCCAGTCTAGAAAGTCTTTTAAAAGTCTGAAAATTCGATTTTCAAAATTTTTATTCAACTTTTCAGACCGATTTTTCGCGATTTTCAAGAATTTCAGCATGAAAATAGCGGAAAGTTGTGCTGAAAATCGTGAAAATCACGAAATTTCAGTCTAGAAAGTTGGAAAATCGAAATTTTGGGAAAAAAAATTTTTGACAATTTTTTCAAAATTCAATTTTTCAGACTTTTTCAGCTTTCTGGACTTAAAATTCATAATTTTAACGATTTTCAGCATAAAAATCACGAATTTTCAGTCTAGAAAGTTGGGAAATTTGAGTTTTAAAAATTTTGAAAAAAATTTTTTTTTTTCAAACTTTTTTTCAAAAATTTTTTTTTCGAAATTTTCACTTTTCCAGACCAACTTCTCGCGATTTTCAGCATTTTCAGCACGATTTTCAGCGTTTTTCACCCCCGAAATCCCTTATTTTCAGATGGAAAGGCGCGCTGGTCAGCAACATCATCTCCATCGTCGCCACCGCCTACTTCCTTCAAGATGTATGTTTTTAGCCCTAAAAACAGTGATTTTAGGGCTTAACAAAGACTGAAAAAGCGAATTTCAAGCCCGGAAATCGTGTTTTTCAGCGATTTTAACCCTAAAAATGGGATTTCTTGCAGTACACCCCATCGCCATTTCGGGAAATGGGATTTCGTTGGGATGAGATGGCAAAAGCGATCAGTTTTCCGTTTATTCTCATGAATGGATTCTATTTAGGACAATTCGTGAT